CAAGGAAGTAATTTTCATTTTAAAACTGTGTGTGTGTGTGGGGGGGGGGGGGGCACAATTGTCTTGAGCATTGGTGGGGTGGTGCAAGCTTTGTTATCCTTTGCTCTTTCTGGCTCTAAAGCAATAGAGCAGCTATCTGAATGCTGAAAACAAGCCTTATAGTTTTACTCTCACAGGTGGAGTGTTATAGATTCGGTTCTAATGCCCCGTCTGATATCAAACTATATTAGAGATGCTTTTGGTTGTTTTTAATCCCAACAAACACGGAGATGGAAATGAAAGAGAAAGAGAGGAAAGTAAGAGGTGGGAGGAAAAAGTTCACAAAATTAAACAATAATGGATGTACAAGGATCTGCTTCTAGACCTGCAGAAAGAGAGAGAGAGAGAGAGAGAGAGAGAGAGAGAGAGAGAGAGAGAGAGAGAGAGAGAGAGAGAGAGAGAGAGAAAGGGGACACACAAAAATACAACAGAAACCAAAATATTACTGCACCAAACATAAGGATATACAACAGTAACTATTTTTGCTGAAAAGCACACAGTAATAATTAATCCATAGTGCATTTAGTGCCAACCACAGCCCAAGGTAATGTATCAAAAACACCAGAGTCCATACCTGCAAGAGCACCATGTGAGCGCCTGCGTGTGTACACGCACTTGTGTATTTAAGGTTTCTCTACAGGAGTATCCATTAGTGAGTGTGAGGGGCCACAGACCTGCCCCCAGCCTCAGGGTGTCTGGTCACTAGACACTAGGGGTGGGGGGGGGGCATAAAAAGCTCTACTTTCAGGACCTATTCCTCTGATAGACATCAGGGTTCTGATCACTTTCTAGCAGCAAGCCACGCATGTTAAAAGTCAGTTTTAAAGTTTCTCAATCAGAGGACAAATCATTACTTTAATAACGTAGAGATCCCAGCTGAGGGTTTATTGTTATAAGAGGTGTGTGTCACAGTGTGTGTTCAGCTTGTTGTAAAGTGAAACTCCTTCAGTTGATGTGAGTAGATTGAATAAAAAATAGTCAAAGGTCATGGAGATCAGACGAGGAGCCCTGGAGGTCCTGCTTGTGAATTAAACTGTCAAACTGAGCAGCTGAGCTGACAGCGCCTCTCTCTCTCCCTGCATCCACACCTTCACCATTTGTTACGTGTCTCTGGGCTGCAGCTCGGAATGGCCTTTTAATGTGTAAATGGATTTGCTAGCTGGGGATTTAAAAAAGAAGTCACACTTTAAAGGCCCTGCGCAGTTTTGCTGGTTGTTTCTGGGGTGTAACTGACCCCTCTGACAGTCAAGGATAATTACAAGGCTGATGGCTGCCTGCCCTCTAAATCCTGTTGATTGCAGTGATACTGATGCCGTCTCATCATGTTGACATTAAATCATGTGTGAATTTTTCTGTTTTGCTCTAAAACTTGACTTGATCTTTGGGGGCAGAGCCCCAGGAGACAGCATCTTCCGCTCCCTCAACACAATTTATACAAAATCTGTCCTTTTCTTTCACTCTGACTGTCCTCAGCATCCACTCGTGTGACTAACAGACAGCTGTTTGTCTGCTTTGCTTTACTTTTCATGGTCCACTTCTCCGAAGGTGACGGATGCTCTTGAGATACGCAGGGACATCTAGTCATTAGGCCACAGGTAAAGTGAATCACGTGGGGTCGAGTCTTGTGCTGAGGGGATTCAGAGGGACACCAAGGAGTGTTACAGTTGAGAGAAAAGTGAAAGGCAGGGAAGAGTTTGAGCTTTCAGTGTCTGACTTTACAAAGTCACATTGTTATGCTGCACACAGCAGCCCTCTGCAGGTCAGACCAGGGAGCAGCCGGCACCTGCCGCCATTCATTTGAGGTGACAATAAGCCGATGTCACGGAGTCCTGTAGCTGCGGCTCTGCCTCTGGGTGTGCATGTGTGTGTGTCAGGAAGGTTTTAGAACCATCTGTGCTGGATCAACACAAGAGCTGCTCACTTGAATCAATAAAAAATAAACTGTGTGGCATCATTAAAAGGGTTTTCTGCGTGCAAGACAAGCATGCAGCATCAGAACCCCCTTATCGAGCAGAAATCGGTTACAGAACACGATCAATGCCATGTCCTCTGCATGAAAGTCTTTGTTCTGCAGCATATTCAGGAACCCTGCCCTGTTTTCACCCTGCAGTTGGGTAGCAACAAACAGCGCTTTAAGGGGGTCTCCAGCTGGCTGCAAACTCAGAAAGTGGAGGTCAATGCTCTCTGCTGCTGCTGAGCAGGCTACCCTTCAAACGTTCAGACAGCCATGAGAGCCCCCCCCCCCAGAGACCACCAGTTTCTCTTCTGAATCCAGTTCTTACCGCAGCTGATCCTCTCCACAAACACATAGGGGGCATTTAATTCATCCATGTGCTTTCAGTCAGGTTGCCCACCCCTCTTGAGCATCTGCAGGTAGGTTTTATACCACCGAAAGGGAGAATACAAAGGCAAAGTGACTATTTTTTCCAGTTTTCAGGAATTGGTAAAAAAGCAGCTGGGTGTTCACATTAGCAACACGATTGCAGAATTAAGTCTCCTTTGAACTAGTGTTGATCAGACACGAGTTGGGTAAAACATCATGGACCCCTGCAGAACAGCAGATGTGCAGTCAAATGAAACTAAACTGATACCAATGATTGTTGATGTCTAGGTTTTTCTTTACAAGTCTGGTAAAAGGGTTTAGCAACCGATGTATCAAAGAGTGTATACTTTTTAGCATCCCTCGTTTACCCAAATGATCGACTTCAAACAGCTGATGTATATTAGCTGGTCCTCAGCAGGAGGACCATTCTGCATGACTTCATAGCTGCAGCTCTAATGCTAAAACGAGACATGCACAACTTATACCAGACTGCATTTTCCCCTAAAGTTTTCCTCACACGCAGGTAAAACTCAGCAAATTTTAATATTTAAACTTTGACCATGTAAAGGCTCTGGAACCATTTGCAGAGTTTTCGATTCATTGGCTGATTAAAGCGTGACACCACACCTAGAATTTTAAACCTTTTCACAATATTTTAGTTGAAGATTTTGAAAGTAGGGTATCCAAGTAATGATCTCAGTTAAGAGTACTGAGCTTCACATGGAATGAGTCTCAGGTTTCACAATTGAAGTTGAATGAAGTATAGTTTCACTTTTATGTTTGGAAACTTTTTGACCACAGGTGAGGTTTTAAAGACAATCCTTCTGTTCAATTCATAGATTACAAATTTGAGCAACGAGTGATTAAAGTGACCTTTCCAGCGGGATAATAACTTTCTGCATAATGAACAGGTCAAATTAAAAGCCTTCACTGGTCTCATTTACAGTCAACTGTGTTCCCACAGCCACAGGACACTCAGGAGCCAACAGAAACTATAGACCCTTTTACTGTTTGTAAACAATATGGCGTCAGCGAGAACGCGGGCACAGCTTGGCAACAGAGAATGGCGTTGTGTCAGGCTTTATCAAGCTACGCTGCGGGGTTATCACCGGCAAATCTTGAATGTTATATTATTAAACTCACTTTAACGAATGGCAACAGCCTCCCGGATCCCTGTGGCATTACGGAATGGGTGGAAGATGTAGGTGCGTGGCCAGATGTCCAGTGGCCCGATATATATACGTTTTTAGTGGAGAGGCCCAGTAAGTACACACACGTGAGAAGCTACGGGCATACAAATCGTTAGATGCATACAACTATGTTGTCTGTGGCCACGTACAGAAAGTAAAATATCATGACATAGACTCTGTTTTGCGTCTTGAAGGCAGAAGTCCTTCCTAGCCAAAGACAAGGACACAAGACTTCTAGGTACGAGGCTTGGGTCATAGTAAACAAACCAGAGAACTACGTCTTCACAGCCAACTGTACCTGCATGGCAGGGTGAGTATAGCGTAGGTTTCTTTTTTTTTTAGCGTGCTCAGAGTACAATTGTGTTAATTTTAGAGAAATACAGTTTTTACTAATATGCAGTGGGAAAATACAGATGAATTAGAATGAAATGTTAATTTGAAGCATGAAATAAAGCGTATAAATTTGTTTAATTCTGTCATTTTGATGTTCCAGACTTGGGTCATGCTGCAGCCACGCAGCAGCAATTTTATTCAAAGTTGAGCTTTGTGTTAGGATGGGAAAAACAGAAAAGGCTGCAGTTACATCTCAGGCATGTGCATGGGAAGACCTGAGCAGGAAAAATGTAGAACTTCGGAATTCGGTAAAGTTTCAGTCCACTGCTTGAAGAGAATTGATTCTGGCATCCATACACGCAACAACCCGACATTTTTATGTGCTCAGAATTTCAAAACAAAGGGTTTAAAACGCTGTTTTAGTATCGAGTGTGAATGAGGAAGCCTTCACTCTTGTTGCCAGGCTGCGCGCGCAACTTTTGATGACATAGGTAGTAAAAGGGTCTATCCCCGCATCCGTTAAGCTCACAATACTGGTGTCATTTGCAATAGTTACATTTTCTGCTTGAATAAACTCTTAAGTCACATTTAGCCACAAGTGGTGAAACATTTATTGAATACAATTATAAACATGAATCTAGCAAGACTGTTAAAACACTTTAGCTTAGAACATGGTTTCAAAGCAGGTTTTGTTTTTAAGATAAATTCAAGATGCTTAAGACAAGTGTCACACTACCAGAGACTCTGAAAATGTGTTAGTTTGACTTTGATTCGTGCTTCAATGTTCAGAATATATTTGTATTACACTTTTAACCTAGAACAGGTGATTAAACCCACAAAAGTACGGAACTTTCAGGTATTCTTTCAGTTTGCATGATGACCCAAAGCTGTACAGACCCAATATTAAGACTTCAGTAATGAACCCAGATCAGTTTCTCTTTGAATATCCAACTGCAGAAGAAAATATCATACATGAACAAGTTCTACGCATCAATGTGGCTGTCGAGTTGGTATAAAAGCACCGCAGTGATCAGTTCAAGGAGACTGGTAAACTTACATCAGCTGGTCACCATTAGACCACCGCTGCCATCTAGTGACAAATCTTAGCAAGGAAAAAAAATTCTAAAGTTTTATTTCAATTACTACATATAAAAAAAACACACAATGTATATATTAATCTTCAGGGCAAGCGGTTTCAGCTGGTAGGGCCACAGCATCCTAGAGACAAAGGAAGCAGTCAAAATAATGATGGCATCCGATTCAAATACAGCATCTCAGCTTACCGTGTTCACATCCTCAATGACAACATGTCCATCGGATATATTGAGGTCATTAATTGTGCTGTTGTGAGAAGAGTACTCTCCACTATCAGTCGATGTCGAACTGGGCTGGAAATAAATTAAAATAAAATAAAAACGTACACTTTAATGTATTTTGATACTAAAAATGGTCAAACCACAACTCGAGGACCTTCACATCCTTCCTTAATAAAAAAATAAAAAGATTAATAATTCACACTATTGAAGCACCAACCTCATAATCAGGATCTTCCTCTGTACCTTCATCTGACAAATCCTGAGAAAGCACCTCCACCCACGTTGGATGCTCATCTTCACCATCCTCATCCTCCAAGTCATCCTGTTTCCTCTTGCTGCCCTTTCCATGCAGCTTGGTAGGGGAGATGCTGACTTCTGTTGGGAAACAGTGAGGAGCCATTATCGAAGAGTCAGTCTGAGCCCCATCTATAGTTGGCTCAGTTTCCTGTACCACTGCATTCCTTCAACCTCACTTATGTTCAAACATGGCCTATTCTGAAAGAATGGATGCAGTGAGACCCATACCTGGGGACAGGGCACGGCCGATGCTGCTGAACACCGGGTACCCCATGGAGGCCTGCGCCCAATGGGGCAGGAAGAACAGCAGCAACCGGGAGACCCCGCGCAGCTGCTTACGGGCTGTGAGGCTTGGGCGAGCAGGGCTAGACGTACCAAGGCCGGGGGAGTCTCTCTCCGGGAGCTTCTGGAAACCATGAACCCCCCAGAGCCTGCGGAAGGCCCTGACCTGTAACCGAACTGAGTTGGTTTGTCTGCTTAGGTCAGCTTTAATCTGGTTTAATTAGCTACACACCAGAACACTAAAAGGCCAGAGTAGACCACGCATTAAGGAGCTGAACACACTCCTCCTCGCCACTACTCTGCCCTGAAAGTAAACACAGGAACAGTGAAGACAACCGGCCTTACACACACATGAAAACAGCTTCGTTTTCCATCACCTCTGTGCTTTCTGGCTGCTGCTGCTGCTCCTCCTGCTCCATGGTCTCTCTGCAGCTCTCAGAAGTCATCGTGCTGTGGGCCAACACCTGTCGGATTACCAGTCAAAACAAACCCTTGGAATCAGTCAGGAGGATTTGAAGGCTGAAATGGGACCAAACGCTGCAGGTGTGAGGCCAGTTAGCAGAGAGGAACACACCTGGTGAAATCAAAGTGAGCCAATCAATGGAGTCTGCCAATTAACTCCGAAAAAAGCAGCCACAGGCTGCTCCTGCAGGGAGACAGTCAAATCTAATTATGAAGTTGATGCAGATTAAAAATGAATGCTGCTGTTGGTATGATAGAAACCACAGTTTTATTTCCCAATTACTTTTACAATAAAAATGTTTTATTAAGTTCTGCTGCTTGCTAAAACTGAAGAAAACCATAATAATTGAACAAAAATTTAGCTCATGTTACCTCTGTGGCAAGCCATTTTAATATGTAATCAACAATCTGGTTTCTCATTGGCCCCTATATATTTTGTATAGCAATAATATAATTTTTCCTTGTACTAATTCTATTCTTACTAGTCAAAATTGCAAATGAAGATATCAACAGCAATTTGTAACTGGTAGAAATTATAATTAGAATATCCATAATAACAACTGCACTAGTAGGAATTCAATGTGATATCTCAAAATCCATAAAAACCTACGCTGGCGTTCTTAACATTTGTTAAGCAGACTGGATATGCAGTCCATATATAAATAACTCTATTGTTCCTAGTAAGAATTAACATTTCAGATATCTACAATAACATCCCTACTGTCCACAATGAGCACTTCAGATATATGACACTCTCACTCATGTATTGGGTTTATAGCGCCTCCTAGCCACAATTACATCAAGAAGGGACATTACGGACAGGAGAAACTCAAATCTTATTAGAACGTGTTTATTACAATCGTGGGCTCTCTAAAAAGCCGTAGGGATGGAGAAATGAAATATAAGATGCCAATATGCATGAATGAGAAATGTGGCATAACAAAAACAAGTGATCACTCAGTCAGATTTAATTCCGGCTTCTGTTTGTAAGCCGAGATAAGGGACGTTTTGTTGTTGTTTTTAGTAATGGGTGGTTTCTTAGAGGTTTCTCAGGTTTCTTACAAACTCACCAACAGCCTCAAGAAATGAAAGCTTGAAAGAGTTCATAATAGCCGTGACGCGACACTGGCCGGGTGTCTCTGAGCACTTCAGTGCCGCAGGCTGTTCGCCACAAAGCGAGCAACAGCTGCAACTTCTTAGGGAAGTTCACCAAGCAGGACGAAGTGGGAATTAGTTTGAAAAAGTTTGTGTTAATCACCTCCCAGGGGGTTCAAGGTGACGTATTTTCTCACACATACAAACATCTCTTCAAGAACATGATTTTCTAATAAGCTGGTTTTAAAAATCAGAACAAATTTCATCTTTAAGCAGCTGTTCCCATGACCCCACCTCGTTTAATAATAATCATCATAATCATAATAATAATAATAATAATAATATTCATCATCATCATCATCATAATCATAATAATATAAAATAACAACAATAATAATAATACACTTTTAAATTGTATTGTATGGTAGAAATACGGCTGCATGGTGGCGCAGTGGTTAGCACTGTTGCCTCGCAGCACGAAGGTTGCAGGTTCGAAACTCAGCTCGGCTGCGGCCTTTCTGCGTGGAGTTGCGTGTTCTCCCCATGCATGCGTGGGTTTCCTCCGGGTACTCCGGCTTCCCCCACAGATCACAACATGCCCTATAGGTTATAAATTGTAAGTCGCTTTGGATAAAAGCGTCCGCCAAATAAATAAACATAAACATAGTTATAGGATCTCATTTTCCAAACAGACAAGCCATTAGGCATTATGGAATGCCATTAGAAACATCTGACACTAGAACAGAAAATGAAAAGTTAACCAAAAGTATTAATTTATAAAAAATGAAGCGATTTCCTCGATTTATCGTCAGACGGCAGCTGAGTCGTGTTCCCACAGCCCCTGAGGGGCCAGAGATGCTCTAGCTGCTCCTTTGCATATGAAGAGCATTAAGAGAGAAGCCCTTATTGTTCTTCCATACAAGACAAGCTCCCTATTTGGTGACATATCCGGCTTTGGTTTCCATCACGTTTCTGTATCCTTTGATGCATTTGGAGGAGCACAAAATGTGGGACGCAGAAAACTATAAAAGCTGCTTGTTGCTCCTCGTTGTGTCAAACCACAGCCGAGCCTGCGAGGTAGCGAGAGGAAGAGATTTTTAGAATGGAAAAGCATCCAGTCACCAGGACGGTCAGCATTGGTGCCATCTGTGGTGGAACCAGAACTTCAGATGAACTCTCGACAGCTCGTAGGCACAGCACTGCAGGGATCAGGGCTTTGCTGTGGGCCACCGGTAGCGCAAAATCCTTTGGGTGTTCTACAGACTCCCAGATGAGCCGTGAGAACATATTTTCAAACATCCTGACGCCTGACAGCATCCCCCAGTTCACCATACCAAGCCTGTCCATCCAGACCAGCTTACGATCACTGGAACAGGAAGCAGAAAACAATAAGTCAGAAGATCTGAGGAGGTCAGGAACTCCACCTTACACTAACATCTCTTCAACTTCATCATCCTCTTGCTCCAGTTTGGTTCCAACAAATCGCAGAGCTGAGAGGTGTGTTTCTGACCCTTTAACCAAAAGGAGGTCTCTGCTTCAGAAGGAGGTGCACCTCTCCAGCCTCTGCAAAGACACCCAACACTGTCTGGACCCTGAGAGTAAAGCCGCCCTCTCCCTGCCTCACCTCACCAAGGTCACCACCCCATATGGCTTTGTCACGCTAAGCCAGAGCCCCCAGATGGCGAGCGAGGAGGCGCTGCTCTCCCAGGCTGGGCTGCGTCGTTTCAACGGTGACGAGACTTCCTGCTCTTTCAGCAAAGCTCCAGTACTGAATGGAGACAGCATCAAAGGCAACTGTTTCCACCTGTCAGGAGCCAAGAAGAAGCCTAAAGACTCGGCTGACCCACAGAGCAATGAGAGGTTAACGAGAGGAGAACCACAGACCTCCATCAGTGCCTCTGTTTCATCCTCCTCTACACAGAGGCACCCAGATAAGCTGAAGCAACGCTTCTACCACATTATAAAGAAACATTTCATGTAATGTGACAAGAAATAAATGAGATCCAAAGGATTAAGAAAAGCTTAAAAGGTTAAAGTCAACTTTCTTTAAAGGCATGGTTCACTGAAAAAACATTTCTAATCATTTTTCTGATTATAACTCATCACAGTGAGTTTTATATGCATTAGCTTCTGATAGAAAATGGACAATGAAAGCTAGGATTTGAAAAAGCTGACAGATATTTGTCACACTGTTACTGAATATTCATTGACTCGCCCACATTGATTTGTAACGGGGACAGCTGTAAGTAAGTAAGTAAGTAAAGTTTATTTATATAGCGCCTTTCACAGATATAAATCACAAAGTGCTGTACAACATGAGTAAAATCAGGGCAAATTCCTCAAACCAATAAAAACATAAAAACAATAGCAGTGACAACAATAGTAACCAAAATCAGGAGTAAAAACAAAGTCACGGTGTGAACAAGAACAAAGCCATCTTTTAGAATATTTAGCAGGGGAAAGCCTGGATGAAAAGATGTTTTTTGAAGACCTCTCCAGATTTCAAGAGACGGAGATTTGAAGGCAGACTGTTCCAAAGTCTGGGTGCAATAGTCTGAAAGGCCCTGTCCCCTTTGGTTTTCAGTCTGGTTCGAGGAACAGCCAGAAGGTTTTCAGATGTGGATCTAAGGTTCCGAGAGGTGATGTGTGGGGATAAAAGCTCAGATAGGTAGCTTGGAGCCTGGTTGTTAAGAGCTCTATAGGTCAGGACTAAAACTTTAAACTGTATTCTATATTCTACCGGGAGCCACACTGTTAGACTTTACCTATCCACTTTACGGTAATAAACTGGCAACACTGTTGCCAGCATGATACCGTGATGCATGGTTAACGGTAACTTACCACTTAGTGTTGATCCCAGAATTATACCGTATATTTTATTGCTGTAAAAAACCCTCTGACTGCATGCCGGTGAGATACTGGCAACACTGTTGCCAGTATCTCACCGGCAACAGTGTTGCCAGTAAAATACCGTAATATATTTCACAAGAAAATTACATCAATAATGCAACATTATACCGTGATTAATAAATATGTGTTGTGCTGTATGTTTATGGTATGTTACCGTAAGCTCATTTCAAGGTATGCTGCAATACTTTTTCCAGTGATTTACCGTAAACATACACTTTTGCTACTGAAAATAGTCAACGCTGTCAGAGGGTACTGTGTTTTTGTGGGCAGTAATTTACCTTTTTCATGTCATATTTTACTAAGATACGAGTAAACGGTAACATACTGTAATAAAATAAAGGCTCCCAAAATAAAAGGTTTATACTTGTGCACACACACACACCTGCACACTTGTTTGTATAATAGTTGGATATATTTAAGATCAAGATGTAAACAAAATGCACTGGATTATCTTTTTATTTGATTTCTTCCATTAAAACAGAAAAACATACCAATAGCCGGTAAAAGTCTCTTGAATAAAATGCTTTGTAGTTAAACATCCAGAACGGTATAGTGAGAAGAAATTGGCAACTGATGGTCATATTGTAAAAAAGAAATGAATCAGTGACCTGTGTGACCTACAGATGATAAATAGTCAGATGTATACAAAATGTATACAAACTTTTCTTAAATGCAAGTAGTTACATATTTGAATTGGTGTAAGAAAATGTTTGAGATCATCTGCCTCTACTAACAGAAGGTCACTTTTTTGTTGGACACCAATTACATCTTTCAGGTGGTCTGCAAAGGACAGTACTTTCTGTCTCTCCAATTCCGGCAGGATGCATGTGATTTCATCCTCAATTTCCATCACTGAAATATAAGGGGAAAAAATCGTGAAGAAACTGAATGGTGCAGGGAGACAACAAAAAGATCTGCCATGTTATAAACAGGCATTGGGTAATAATCCATCAGACTGTCAGCATTTACACACAAACTTCTGTCTGTAGGGCAGTGTAGGCAATAAAGTCCAAGGTCAATAAGGCGTACTGACTGATGCTATTCTAGCAAAAAGTACCATTTAGAATC